TTTGTAAATTATAATTGATTAACGTTATTATTCGTTTACTTGACACCTGCAATAAATTCGGTAGTCCCACAAGGACAGATGTTTATACCGTGTTAAAGTAAAAACAAAAACAAAAAAAAAATAGGGCAAAAATTAATAGGTACGTATTGTTGGATAGTGTCATTTCAAAATTAAAAAGTGAATTGAGCGAACCACGCATTTACGCCAAAGCAGAGGCAGACTGACCAGAGAGTAAGTCTGATCAATGAGAAGTGGCCATTGATAGAGATGGAATCCTACATCTAATAAAATATAAATGCAAAAAAAAAAAATGAAAAAAATTGTTTGTTGATAAATTATATTTTCTAATGAAATGTAAATGCTTCACAAATATAAATTTCGGTTAAAGTAACATCATTTTATAGTTATTTTTAAACCTTTTGTATCTGACCTTAAGATTTTGACACGGAGTGTACCCCTTTCGAAGTACTTTCAATGTGTAAAATGCAGTACATTATTTAAATGTATCAACCAATTACTTAAAAATAAAAAGTAATAAGTAAAAATTAACTTATAATTTGCATGTACATTTAGTATATAGTGCCAGGAGTAGGTACTGTACTAAAAAAAAATACCCGTTTTTCCACTAAAATTTAAATTTTACTTTTTTTCAAAATTATACTTTTATTTTTTTATTACTATATGTAGTTGTAAGTGTGTATCATTGTCTTCTGTAAACCCGCTATATATATATATATATATATATATATATATATATATATATATATATATATATATATATATATATATATAAGTTTATAGTAAATATGAGGGGGAGAGCATATTTTCGCCTAAACAATAACCTAAATAGCAACAAAAGCAACGAGAGCTATGGATTTAAAACTAATGCCCACCCCCGTATGTTAAGGAACTCAATAAATTCGAAGCTATGTACTGAGGAGAAATTAGCCATAGCTTTACATAATCAACCTAACGATCGATTAAACTCTAAAACCGAGATTCTTTAACAAATGTAGGCATATAAAATCATGGTTGTTGAATTAGGTCTAATCTCCCCTGTTTGTATTGTCATTCAACCTTTATTGTTCGTGTTTTCTTATATATCCCCTCCCCTTTTAGTCGTTTGAATAAATCTTTACCATCCCCCGGGGTTGTGTTTTTTCTTGCTTTTCTTGTTTTTCTTTTTCTTTGGTCACGTGGTATGGTTTTGATTATCGCCTATAAATATGCTGTTTCTCTTTTGCCTCTTTAGCCAGCTTTCCCTGACGATCCGCTTAGGTGAAACCTGGATAGGTTTGTCTGGCTCACTAGGTTTATATATATATATATATATATATATATATATATATAATAGTTTTAGGGTGTTCTATATTTATGTGATAAAGTGCTCAATATCAAAAAGAGCATATATAAATAGTATATCATTTATATACAATTTCAATTAAATAACCCCGAAGTTATGAATTTGTATGATAAAGGTTTCATTCTACTGGCTGCATAAACAACTTCCTTCACACCATACTCATTAGGTTAGAGGTATAAAAAAAATCTCAGAAACTTAGAAAAAAGACAAATATATTATAAGTAGTATAACATAAATAGAGAGAAGACCGATTCAAATCATTTGCACACTGCCACAGGCGTTTCCCTAGCGACATCTTAGTGTAAACCGGGAAATCTAACATCAAGGGAAATAGCTGCAGGGATGTTTTATTAATCTATGAAAAAAAAAATTGATTTAATATATTATCCGATAATGTAAACTGGAAATGTCTGAATATGTCGCACCGAGAAAGTGTCACGATGCTTGTAATGTTTAATCTGAAATGATTGATGATCAATTAATATTCTGTTTATCTGTATTTAATCAATTAAATATTCCGAGCTATCCTACAATCATGTTCTGTTTAATGTTCACCCTGCTCATCACTTAGATCAATCAAATTAAGTTACATCAATAATAAACTCGAATTTTTATCACATGTCTGATACAGTCTGTGGTAAGGGGATATATTGAAGGACTTAAATTCTTTCCGTTCATAAATTAGAACAACGCAATTACACTGCCATCACTTACTATCATAGTATGAAAGATTCGGTGATTGAGGAATTGATTAAAATCAATCGCTAGTTATTAATTGCGGCCAAGTCTTAGATTTAGTTATTCGCGGCTAGATAATCTTGATATATTTGGGGAGGGTAAAATAATCGATAACCTGTACTGGGGATAAAACACGTGCATACGGAGAGAAAATGAATTCAGTAAATACACAAGACGAGAAAAGACAATGAGAAATCTTCTCGCAGGACTTCTTCAACCTATACAGTGCGGTGATTCTGAGAGAATTAGGCGTCCTACCAATATTCGTCATTGGTGGCCACAATCTTAATAAAATATGCACATGACAGTGTGGTGGTAGCCGACCAGTAAAGGAACCTACAATAATTCCTACAGAATGTAGTCAAAGAAATGATGAAATATAGACAAGGCGTTGTTGCCAGCAGAAAAAAACCCCAAAAAACCCAAAAAATCATGCAAATTACAAATTGGGGATGACAATGGCTTGTAAGTAGAACAATTTGAATATGTGGGAAGTATTTTAACAAGATGGAAAGTGTGACACAGAAATCCGAAGGTGCATTTGGATAGCGAAAGATACCTTCAAAAAGCTATGTAAAATATTAAAAATTTCATTAAAAAACAATGAATACAGTAATGGACTTTTACGCAATATCAATTCCCCTTTATGTCAATGAAGGCTGAACCATCTTTACACTGATGAAGAAGTACCTTGAGACGATAAAATGTCAATCTACAGAAGGATGATGAGAATGCCATGGATTGAATCATTAAGCAATGACGAAGTTCAAGAAAACAAAATGGATATTAATAATTAAGTTCAGAAAGAAACAGTAACATTTTATTTCACATAATGAAGAGTGCTTGGAAAATTTGACACTTGCAATGAGGCTGGAGTTAAAAGCAGGATACGGTATATAACCTGCCTAACGAGCTTGTATAAATATATGTTAGAAGATGATTCAGGAGAAATTACGAAAAGACAAAATTTACTAAGACCTACAAAGGTTTCGTAATGCCTGTTGTAGGAGTAGTCCTACGTCGGTCGCGGTTGACCATAGATAGCATCCAAGTTGTCTACTTGGCAGGAGTTTCGACGTCTGTGACTGTAGAGACCGATGCAGGAGTGACAATCTCTGTTGCAGAGGTCGCATGTGTGTTCTGTCTTTGGTCTGTTGGAGCTGTCAATTTGTTTTCTTCTGGTCCGTCTTTCCGTGGCAATTTGTGTTAGATTCTCCTCCCCTGACTGGAGGTGTTCGGTCAGGTTTCGTCTCCATCTGGATCGTATGGATGCCAAGATCTCGCAGGAATCTCTGTTGATGTCCACTTCTTTCATGTTGTAGGAGGGAATTTGTAAATCTCAGATACAATAATAGTAACCCCTTTAAACAATACGCCGCTAATTCTTGTGTATATATATATATATTTTTTTTTTTCTTTAACTGTCACGTAATTATTTGAAGATGAGGTCGACTATGATTGCTCTCTGGCGATCTATGTTCAAACCCAATTGTCGGCAGTGCCACATTATTTTTATATGACAAAAGGTCAGGAAATAGTGAAGAGCAAGATCGCCTTTTCATACTAAAAAAACACAAATGAACACGTAAATATTTACGCGTGTAAAGATGCGTATTTAATGTTAATTGGATCTTTTTTAATTGGGTATGTATATCCCTGTGTATATATAATGCTGAGACAGTTTTTCATGCTTGAACGTAATATGAAAAAAAAAAAAATTAACTTATATTTTTTATGGCTTGGTGTTTAATTTATTGTTCACTTCGTCTATTTACATCCAATCTATCTCTGAATTACCTTTTATCCATATTTATAGCATACTTTAAAACTGCTTTTATCATAAATATAAGCATAGTGAGAGCTAAGGGAGCGTTTGAGGAAGATAATATTTTTTTTAGGGTTTTCAGATGAAACCTCTTTCATATTTTTCAAGATGGATGCGTACCACATCACAAAAACAACAGACATTCATATAATCGTAGAAAATGTAGAAGAGAACTAAAATATAAGACAGCGTGGGATAAAACGTATAAATTAGTTGTATCAATAAAAATTGGCTGCTCTGAAAACCAAAACACGACACCGAAACAAATTCTGATGATAGCATTAACAGAATAGCATGTCGCATCTTGTGGATCTTATTGTAAGCCCAACTTGACCCATATAAAATACGAACAATATATTATGATTTAATATCACATATGTTGTCTTTTGAAGATTTCGAGCATTTTTGAAGAAATATAATGGAAATCTAGAAATATGATTAGACATCTCATTACGAATTTTAATCTCGGAACCAACATGATAATCAAATTGTGATCGATCTGTTTCTTTCGCTACGGGTTAATTCTCTTTTCCAAGAAAATTAATCAATTTTCTACCAGTTTCGCATTAAACGCTGCGGTTGACTGGGATCAATTGCCATTCCGATGTACATTCCAAATTATGGGTCATACTTTCTGTCGTCTGCTATTGCACTATCAAAAAATAATTTATTTCCTTTTGTGTTTCATCTAGACTCATGGAAGGCGAACTTAGAATAATTCAACAAAATGCTAAATGAAAATGACTATAAATAGTACTAAATGTGTTACTTATATCTTAATGGAATTCACTAGAGCTTTCATCCATTTCTCTTAGAGCACTTTCATATTTATCTCTTTATAGAATTCCTTTATTCTTCCTTGTTTTCGTTCAATTCTTGGTCTGTCATCCTTTCTATATAACACCGTATTTTGTTTCACTATAGTTGTGCGTTTTTTATCGGTCAAAAATTTTACATTATAGCTGTTTTGTTTGGTGCTTTTATATTCGATTGTTTTCAAAGTTTCATCGGCCTTCCTGTTTTATGATTTCTTCTTCTGTATTTCTGTCTTAGTTTTTTTCTTCTCTGTCTCAGATTTTTTCTTCTCTCTCTCTCTCTCTCTTTCTGTATTTGTTTTTTCTATCTCTTTCTGTATTTGTTTTTTCTCTCTCTTTCTGTATTTGTTTTTTCTCTCACTTTCTGTAGTTTTTTTTTCTCTCTCTTTCTGTATTTGTTTTTTTTCTCTCTCTTTCTGTATTGTTTTTTTTCTCTCTTTCTGTATTTGTTTTTTTCTCTCTCTTTCTGTATTTGTTTTTTTTTCTGTATTTCTTTTTTTCTCTCTTTCTTTTTTTTTTCTCTCTCTTTCTGTATTTTTTTTTTTCTCTCTCTCTCTGTATGTTTTTTTCTCTCTCTCTCTTTCTGTATGTTTTTTCTCTCTCTCTTTCTGTATTTTTCTCTCTCTCTCTCTTTCTGTATGTTTTTTTTCTCTCTCTCTCTTTCTGTATGTTTTTTTTCTCTCTTTCTGTATGTTTTTTCTCTCTCTTTCTGTATGTTTTTTTCTCTCTCTCTCTCTTTCTGTATGTTTTTTCTCTCTCTCTCTTTCTGTATGTTTTTTCTCTCTCTCTCTTTCTGTATGTTTTTTCTCTCTCTCTCTTTCTGTATGTTTTTTCTCTCTCTCTCTCTCTTTCTGTATGTTTTTTCTCTCTCTCTCTTTCTGTTGTTTTTCTCTCTTTCTCTTTCTTTCTCTTTGTTTTTTTCTCTCTCTCTTTTTTCTCTCTCTCTCTTTTTGTTTTTTCTCTCTCTCTCTTTCTTTCTTATGTTTTTTTCTTTCTCTCTTTCTGTATGTTTTTTTCTCTCTCTCTCTCTTTCTGTATGTTTTTCTCTCTCTCTCTCTTTCTTATATTTTTTCTTCTCTCTTTCTCTTTCTTTTTTTCTCTCTCTCTTTCTTTTTCTCTCTCTCTCTCTCTTTTTTTTTCTCTCTCTCTCTTTTTTCTTTTTCTCTCTCTTTCTGTCTGTTTTTTTTCTCTCTCTCTTTCTTTATGTTTTTTTCTCTCTCTCTCTTTCTTTATCTCTTTTTCTTCTGTTTTTCTCTCTCTTTCTTGTTTTTTTTTCTCTCTCTCTTTCTGTATGTTTTTTCTCTCTCTCTCTCTTTCTGTATGTTTTTTCTCTCTCTCTCTCTTTCTGTATGTTTTTCTCTCTCTCTCTCTTTCTGTATGTTTTTTTCTCTCTCTCTCTTTCTGTATTTTTTTTCTCTCTCGATTTCTGTATGTTTTTTTTCTCTCTCTTTCTGTATTTTTTTTTTTCTCTCTCTTTCTTTCTGTTTTTTTTTTTCTCTCTCTCTTTTCTGTCTTTCTTTCTCTCTCTCTTTTTTTTTTTTCTCTCTCTCTCTCTTTCTGTATTTTTTCTCTCTCTCTCTCTTTCTTTGTTTTTTCTCTTCTGTCTCTTTTTTTCTCTTTTTTCTCTCTCTTTCTCTCACTTTTTTGTTTTTCTCTCTCTCTTTCTGTATTTTTTTCTCTCTCTCTCTCTTTCTGTTTTTTCTCTCTCTCTCTCTCTGTTTCTTTTTTCTCTCTCTGTTCTTTCTCTTTCTGTATTTGTTTTTTTTTCTCTCTCTCTCTCTTTCTTTCTGTGTTTTTCTCTCTCTCTCTCTTTTTTTCTCTCTCTCTCTCTTTTTTTTTCTCTCTCTCTCTTTGTTTTTTTTTCTCTTCTCTCTCTCTTTCTGTTTTTTTTCTCTCTCTCTCTCTCTCTTTTTCTGTTTTTTTCTCTTTTCTGCTTTCTTTTTTCTCTCTCTTTCTGTATTTTTTTTCTCTCTCTTTCTGTATGTTTTTTCTCTCTCTTTCTGTATGTTTTTTCTCTCTCTCTTTTTTATCTTTTTTTTTCTCTCTCTCGATTTCTGTATGTTTTTTTTCTCTCGATTTCTTTGTTTTTTTTCTCTCTCTTTCTTTCTCTCTCTCTGTATGTTTTTTCTCTCTCTCTCTCTCTTTTCTGTATGTTTTTTTTCTCTGTATTTGTTTTTCTCTCTCTCTTCTCTGTATTTTTTTTCTCTCTCTCTCTCTCTGTCTCTTTTCTGTTTTTTTTCTCTCTCTTTCTGTATGTTTTTTCTCTCTCTTTCTGTATGTTTTTTCTCTCTCTTTCTGTATGTTTTTTCTCTCTCTCTCTTTCTGTATTTGTTTTTTTCTCTTTCTGTATTTGTTTTTTTCTCTTTCTGTATTTGTTTTTTTTCTCTCTCTCTCTTTCTGTATGTTTTTTTCTCTCTCTCTTTCTGTATTTTTTTTTTTCTCTCTTTCTGTATCTTTTTTTTTTTCTTTCTGTATTTTTTTTTTTTCTCTCTTCTGTATGTTTTTTTCTCTTTTCTTTTCTCTCTCTTCTGTCTTGTTTTTTTCTCTCTCTTTCTGTATTTTTTTTCTCTCTTCTCTTTATGTTTTTTTCTCTCTCTTTCTTTTGTTTTATCTTTTTTTTTCTCTTTCTGTATGTTTTTTTCTCTCTCTTTCTGTATTTTTTTTTTTCTCTCTTTCTGTTTTTTTTCTCTCTCTCTCTTTTGTTTTTCTCTTCTCTCTTTCTGTCTTTTTTCTTTCTTCTCTTTCTGTATTTTTTTTCTCTCTCTTTCTGTGTTTTTTCTCTCTCTCTCTTTCTGTTTTTTTTCTCTCTCTTTCTTTCTTTATTTTTTTTTTTTTTTTCTTTCTTCTTTCTTTTTTTTTCTCTCTTTCTTTCTTTTGTTTTTTCTCTCTTTCTTTCTTTGTTTTTTCTCTCTCTCTCTCTTTCTTTCTTTTTTTCTCTCTCTCTCTCTGTATGTTTCTTCTCTCTCTCTCTTTTTTTTTCTCTTTCTCTCTTCTGTATGTTTTTTTTCTCTCTTTCTGTATGTTTTTTTTTCTCTCTCTCTTTCTCTCTCTCTTTTTCTATCTTTCTCTCTCTTCTTTCTGTTTTCTCTCTCTCTTTCTGTATCTATTTTTTTTTCTCTTTTTTTCTCTCTCTTTCTGTATTTGTTTTTTTCTCTTTCTTTCTCTCTCTCTTTCTCTTTCTGTATTTGTTTTTCTCTTCTCTCTCTCTCTCTTTCTGTATGTTTTTTTTTTTTCCTTTCTCTCTCTTTCTGTATTTTTTCTCTCTCTCTGTTTTTTTCCTCTCTTTCTTTCTTTTTTTTTTCTCTCTCTTTCTCTTTTTCTCTCTCTTTCTGTATTTTTTCTCTCTCTTTCTGTATGTTTTTTTTTCTCTCTCTTTCTGTATTTTTTTCTCTCTTTCTGCTTTTTTTTTTTTCTCTTTCTGTATGTTTTTTTCTCTCTCTTTCTGTATCTTTTTCTCTTTCTCTCTCTTTTTTTTTTCTCTCTCTTTCTGTATGTTTTCTCTCTCTCTTTTTTTTTTTTCTCTCTCTGTTTCTTTTTCTCTCTTTCTTTGTTTTTTCTCTCTTTCTGTATTTTTTTTCTTTTTTTTTTCTTTCTCTCTTTTGTTTTTTTTTCTCTCTTTCTGTATTTTTTTTTTTTCTCTCTCTGCTTTGTTTTTCTCTCTCTTTTTGTTTTTTCTCTTTTTTCTTTTTTCTCTCTCTCTTTCTGTATTTTTTTTTTTTCTGTTTTTTTCTTTCTCTTTCTCTCTCTTCTCTTTTTTTTTTCTCTCTCTCTCTCTCTTTCGTATTTCTTTTTTCTCCTCTCTCTCTTTCTTTCTTTCTTTTTTCTCTCTCTCTCTTTTCTCTCTTTTTTTTTCTCTCTCTCTCTCTTTCTGTATTTGTTTTTTTCTCTCTCTTTCTCTCTTTCTGTCTTTTTTTCTCTCTCTTTCTGTATTTTGTTTTTTCTCTCTTCTCTCTCTTTCTGTATTTTGTTTTTTTTCTCTCTCTTTCTGTATTCTTTTTTTTTCTCTCTCTCTTTTTCTTTTTTTTCTTTCTCTCTCTTTCTTTTTTTTCTCTCTCTCTACCTTTCTGTCTTTTTTCTCTCTTTTGTTTTTTTTCTCTCTCTCTTTCTGTATCTTTTTTTTCTCTCTCTCTTTCTGTATGTTTTTTTTTCTTTTCTCTCTCTGTTTTCTCTTTCTCTCTCTTTCTGTATTTTTTTTCTCTCTTTCTGTATTTTTTTCTCTCTCTTTCTGTATTTGTTTATGTTTTCTCTCTTTCTTTGTTTTTTCTGTTTTTTTTTTTTTTTTTCTCTTTTTCTTTTTTTTTTTTTGTTTTTTTCTCTTTCTGTATTTTTTTTTTCTCTGTATTTTTTTTCTGTATTTGTTTTTTTTCTCTCTTTCTGTTTTTTCTTTCTCTGTCTTTTTTTTTCTCTCTCTCTGTATTTTTTTTTTTTTCTGTATTTTTTTTCTCTCTTTCTTTATTTTTTTTCTCTTTCTGTATTTTTTTTTTCTCTTTTTTTCTCTCTTTCTGTATTTGTTTTTTTTTTCTCTCTTTCTGTATTTGTTTTTTTTTCTCTCTCTTTCTGTATTTGTTTTCTCTCTCTCTCTTTCTGTATTTGTTTTTTCTCTCTCTCTTTCTGTATTTTTTTTTTCTCTCTCTCTTTCTGTATGTTTTTTCTCTCTCTCTTTCTAAAGTTGTTTTTTTTTTTCTTTCTTTTCTTTCCTCTTCTCTCTTCTTTTTTTTTTTCTCTCTCTTTCTGTATTTGTTTTTTCTCTTTCTTTTTCTCTCTCTTTTTTTTTTTTTTCTCTCTCTCTCTCTCTTTCTGTCTTCTTCTTTTTTTTCTCTCTTCTGTATTTTTTTTTTTCTTCTCTCTCTTTCTGTATTGTTTTCTCTCTCTCTTTCTGTTTCTGTCTTTGTATTTTTTTTACTCTCTCTCTCTTTCTGTTTGTTTTTCTCCTCTTCTCTCTTTTCTCTTTCTTTCTCTCTTTCTCTTTCTGTCTTTTGGTTTTTCTCTCTTTCTGTCTTGTGGTTTTTCTCTCTTTCTGTGTTGTGGTTTTTCTCTTCTTCTCTCCTCTTCTCTCTCTTTCTGTATTTTTTTTTTTTTCTTCTTTCTCTCTCTTTTTCTGTACTTTATTTTCTTTTACACATATTTGTGCGATACCGCCCTCATTTGAACTCAACTTGCATTACGGCCCCAAAAACTGATTGATTTCGTCTGCCTAAGATCAATTCACAACGTGGGCAGGCGGACTGGAGATCAACGCAGTTACTTTGGTAATCAGACGTTGGAAGCGAGTTGGGAACGACGAGGCTGATATCGGATCTGACCAGATTCCCATCTGAATCACCAAAAGGTTAGAACGTCACAATAGTGCTTTATACTTCATTTCTTGTTATTGTTTTTAATTTCTTTTCAGTTCCTTTAATATATCAGAAATCTGAAATATTATTTATTACTTACTCACTTCCTTTGTTCACTCAATATACCTAGATAGGTTCGTTTATGATCCGGTTGACATATCTCCCCTGTCATTTCAGGAAAGAGTTGGTTTTTATCCCTTGTTATCTGTTTAAGATCTGGGTTGAGGTTCATCCTAAATATTTTTCGCTCTCTTTCCCTTGCATAGCCAATGGCGTTTTAGTGGAATTATCGCCTCGCTTGCGGTGAATATATTAATAAAAGTTTCCAGATCTATTTGTGTATAACCCAGATTTCTCGAATATATATGAAAAAAAAGCTGTAAATGGTTGGGATTAGTTTCCTCAACAGATTGATTCAAAATCGGCCTCGTGTCGATTCTTCGAGAAATACAAAGGAACTTTAGTTTTTATTTTCGGCGAACATGGTCATGCTAATATTGATCGTTTCACTACCTGGAATTATTTACCGTTCACTGAGCGAGCAGGCAGTACGACATTCTGTTGAAATCTATAAAGTTTTTCTCTTACCTATTTTTCTGAAAATATATTTCATTTCAATTCCAGTAGCTGTTATTGTTCTTGCTTGTAGTGACGAATGATGCATTTCTAACTTTACATTGTTATTTGACGAAGTGTGTAATGTTAGTATATTGATTACGTAATTATTTTCTCTGAGTTACATGCGATACGTATGATAATTGTTGCGTTTCATCGAATATTCTGTGTTGATAATTGACCCGTAAAATGAAACTACAGGAAACGTTGGCAAGTTAAGAAAAATGATGATGGGGAAGAATGATTAATTGTTAAAAAATACAAAATGTATGATTGCCAGTAATAGGGATAAACCAATATATGAACGCCTGATTGTCATTTCAGAAGTACAATCAGCAATTCACTTCAGGCCATCAAAGAAGGTCACGAAATAGGCTTCGACCAACTTGAAATAAAATTGACCAACCGACACAAATTAAACCAAAGGCGAGTAGCTGAACAAATGATAATAGCAAGTATGAAAAATAGAATTGATGCAGCACAGCTACACAAACCACGGACTTCCCTATTTCGACGGAAAATAAGAAAAATAACTAGTAGGAGTATTTTTTATACTCTGGTTTAGAAATGTCATTTCTTTCTTTAAGTAATTCTCACGCTTTCAGGTTAAGAATGTCACGCGAACTCAATTCTATGGACTTTTTTTCTCAATTTCACTTTATAACGTATACAATGTAGCATACTGACTGTTTCATTTATTTTTCAAGCGTGATCAAGGATTGCAAAAACTTTCCAAAATGTATCCGTTTCAAAAATAAATTATCCGTTGAAATTACAAGTTTTTATTCTTTTTAAGTACAGCCCTCATTTATACTCTATATTTGGTACTGGTCATATCTAGGCTCAAGCTGCCATATCCTCACATTCTAGTATAGATAATGTCCAAAGCGATCATATATGTTTCCATTTCTTGCAGAAGTGTCCTCGTAAGCCACTGGTTACTAAATGGCAAATGTTCTGATGAGTTAAATTCCTCATTTCCTCTAATTCTAGACTTCAGAGTTAAGCCCTATTATAAGCGCTCCAGCAGGAAACATCGTTATTTCACTCGGGTTCTTTTTAGTAAAAGAAAGATCCAGTTTAACGTCTTTTCCCCAAAACCCGCCACTTCGATGAATAGACTCCCGAGAGAAAATTCTATCGATCACTACAAGTAGAATTTATTCATCTGTCGGATTAACCAGTATCTTTCCTAGCTATCCACATAAATTGCAATTTTACCTCCTTCTTTCTACTCTCACAACAACCTGATTCAGTAAGACTTTGAGTGGGGGGCTTGGACCTTGTATTAGGTGAAAATTAATAGAAGAAAAAAAAGATTCATCAAGGTAGTGCTTTTAAATGCTGACAGCAATGCTTTGCAAAGGTCCAAAGGTGTATGTCAAAGCATCCATTGCAGAGTCTAAACAATTACTAGGAGAAATTTTGTTAAAATAAATGAAATGGTTATTTCTCTTATTTTTCTCAACAATTTCAGTGCATGGACGAATGGTAGATTTAGTGCCAGGTTGAGTCTGACGGGAAAGAAAATCTGGCATGACACGGTGAACGAAAACATAGCAATTGTTTTAATATATTCGTTCCAGTTATGTCATTGGAAAACGTGAGACCAAGGACGCACAACGGGTTGCTGTCTTTCATGTTATTATCAGACAAGTTGATGGAGAGGGAAAATAGTTCTCTATGAAGATTAAACGGTAGACATTTCCTTTTGAAAGGATGATTTATTATCCTTGTTAATAACTGATTGAGTCCCATTTAGAGAGCAGCTGCCAATTTTACTTCGTCGGACCTATGGCAGTTAGTATTAAGCAAGGTGTAGTGATATAAACAACGGACTTGCCCTACATTGCATAGATTCCAGCGAATACTAAATAAGTCAGTCGTCGAAAATACGTGATAGACGATAAGATATCACATCACAAGGAATAAATAGATTTTTCATCAGCATAGATGCATATTTGGGAGTGATAACATCAAGAATGTGGTTGATGAAAACAAGAAACAACCTAAGTTCAAAGATAGGGCCCTGGTGGACAACCGCATGAACGTGAATTGATTTAGAAAAGTGTTCGTTCAACGCGACACTCATTAGCCGATTTGATGAAAACGATTAGATTGTCAAATATCCGTCCAAAGACATCATCGCCCTTGAGTTTATGGAGAACGCCAGCATACCAAAATTTTCAGATATATCTAAAGCTAGGACCCGAAAGTCGTCTGTGAATTGTTATCCTCTTATACAACAATGAGTTCAGAGATGAAGTTGGGATTAAAAAACCAGATATGATTCTACAGAAGGATGCTATATCACCCCTGGGCCGGAACCGTTAGCAATGCGTATATTTTTTTTTTTTTTTTTTTTTTTTTTTTTTTTAAAATAACGAAAAGTATATTTTTGTTAACAATGAGAATGGCGGATTTTAATTCCTCGGATGAAGAGTAGCCAAAATGAGCATTGGGAATTGAACTCTCAAAAGACATTGAAGTCTCGATGGGCAGTGACCAAAGACGAATAATCTGCCTAGCGAAAATAGGTAAACGGAACAGGAAATATGAGGGTCAGTAATAGAAGAAACAGTACACAGAGCTACTAAGTAGAGAAAGCTGTAGACAACCATGTTCGCCTATATCTCGAGGCAACCAATTTTACATGTTGTCTTTGAACATATCAATGCAATCACACGGTTTAATGTCCCTTATATAAAATCCAAGTGAATGTGAGTGCCTGGGGCTCTGGATGAAAGCGGATTCTACATGTCATCCGGTTTTGCGAGACTTTTTTTTCTCTATCTCGGATTGTTATTTAAATATATGTAGCTGTCATCTGTCAACACCTTCGATGTAGCTGGGTTGATCATGAGTAAGGGTGCCAATGATATCAGCTGGTGGGCTCTCCACCCGCCGACTAGGAGAGGATCTCTCAGGAGAACCTGCAGAGACACTTTGTTTCTTTATGTACCACTGAAAAAGGGATCTATACAATAAACAAAAAATGAATAAGTAACTAATATTTAACAAAATGCTGTTTTCCTTCAGTAACTTTATTAGATTTTAATTCCTGATTATAGGAACATCTAAAACTATCTTTAATTTTAAGTTTGTTATTTATGGATTATCACCATTTTGTTGGTTATTTAAAGCAGAACAATACTATTTACTGTAAGGATATTTATTTGCTAGTGAACTTTTTTTGGAATGATTTTTCCAGCTACAAGTTCTACGATTTAATCCATAACTTAGGGTATCTCCGACTAAATTTCGAATTCGGTTCCTCGATTACTATTTCAGATTCGCTATCCATTATTCACTCTGACATCCCTAATTTTAATAGAAAGACGACAGTAATCCTCTTTTACGAAATATTTAATATGTAATTGTATATAATTTTGTCACAATGTTCCGCTATTGAATTGATACTTCGCTACTCAGTGCTGGTATAATTTCAGCAGATTCGACTGTGGACATTCCAGTCTGCCAGTTACGAGAGTACTGTGAACAATTCGTGGCATAATTCGAGAAGAATTCTGTGGAAATATGATAAGTGATATCCACCGATGTGCTTCCAAAAAGAAAATCATAAAACCATAGCATTTATTTATTTCACAGTGTTTAGCAGTTTAATGCAAACCGTGATAGAATAGGAACACATTCCCCCAGTAATCGCGATTTTCGTAACGATACACTTTTGAGGAATCGTCTAGACAGAGGCGCCTCAATCTAAAGTATTGCTATTTGTAATCTAATATCAGAATGACGGCATTTCTATTTTTAGCGGAGGGAGTATTCAAACGTAATTTTAATAGAACTTTCGTAATTTTTCATTTGAAATTATTGAATATACAATATTTTGCAACGTTATTTATAATTATTTTAATAATGACATAACTAAATATTTTTCCTCATCGACAACATACCTTAATGAATAAACACGCATATTACTGGTAAATGGAAAACCGAAAATGCCTAACAGGAATTTGCTTAGAGGCGTCTATAAACAGCCGTATATTTAAGTGTGTGTAATTAGGGAACGATTTTACACGGCTGATAAAATCTCTGCAGATTATTTAAAGGGATAAATATTTTTAGATTTCAAGAGACTTTTTTGATAGATTAGAATTACTTATTGAATCAAGTCATTAGCTCCTGACTTGGCTCTATTCAGCTGTCGTTGATCCACTCTTAGGGTAGATGTCAC